CTTCTTTGGAACAATGGTTAATAAATTTATGTCCAAGAAATACTCAAGGAGTAAGTAGGAGGCCTGAGGGGATGACATAGGAGCCATAATATCCATCTCTTACCCACAGTTCATCCACAGGATTTGTCTCTATTTATTTCATATGTTCAGGTTAATCCATATATTGTATGGACTAAAGATGCCAGTGGCTTAAGAAGTTTGACAACAATTCCTCTACTCCTTTTATGATAGCAGAAGAAAAGTAGAATAATAAAAATTCAGAGCTAAGTGTAATTTAAGTAACAATTCAATCCAATTCTGATTATATAGTCGAGACAGCTGAGTTGGTTAGGAGTGAAAAGATGTCTGAACACATAGGATTGTATGTAAAGATGTATTGATTCCTAGTCAAATATTATTTTGTTTTATTCAATATTTAAATCAATTTTAAAAATAAAGATTGAGGAAAGTATTTCTTGATAGATATCTAACTCTATGTTGTTAGCTACTTTAAAGATCCTGCATTTGACTAAAATACATTAGTCTGTCCATACATCCATCTATCCATCTACACATCCATTCATCCATTCATCTTATCATCCATCAATCTTTTGCCAAAGAAATATTGACCAATATCAGGCTTTTTGTGATTATATAATTTTGCACCACAAGTACTATAGTATCCATCTAATTCCCAAATATTCAAAGTCTGAAGATTAAAAGCTTGTGTTAAAGGGCCCATACCAAGGATATGTACTCCAGCTCTTACACTTAAGAGAACACTGAACCAAGTAATGGACACACACATAATATAGGGAACACAATCACAGATTTGTGGTGATTTCCAAAAATAATCCAGTTTAAAAAGATGAGCTTCCTGTCTATTTTTGTTGTGAAGCACTGAATAATAGAATGCCAGACATGTTTATACACTGATATAACTTTTCTCTTAGGTGATCTATGTGTCTTCAACCCATATGGTTTCACTACTAGATCTGTGTTACCTTCTAGAAAATGTAAAACAGGTGAAACAGGGTGACAATAAAAAAATGTTTTTCACTGGATCATATTCTCTTCTGCTGTCTAGTATCATCAACTCCCACACCAATCCCCCGGCTCTTAAGGGATAGCTCATGTGTGCTCCAACACATTCCTTTAGTGACCATAGGGAGTGTTCCATTTTCTTGCACTTGTGCTCCAGACGTGCTCAGGGATGTTGGCTGCCAAGGCCTCCAGCATGCGTGGACTACGTGAAGGTGCTCAGCACACTGTGGAAGAGCCCATAGTGATTCCCTTCACACCAGTGCCACTGCTTTCAGGCACACCACTCTCCACAGGACACTGCCACTGCCACGGGCATGGTCACTGCTTCTGCCAGATACACCCTGCTTTAGAGAGTGTTAGCATGTACTTCTGCTGCAGCATGTCACTGTCGTCTCAGCACCCTTCTATCTCTGGCTACCAGCACTGGGGCTGTTCCTGCACAGGAATCCTCAAGGAACCTTGTCCAAACCCATATGGGACCCTGTGACAACCTAAAAGATCCCTGCTTTCCACACTGTGTTCTTCAGTTTAGTGAGTTGTCTAAAAAGGGATGTTTCAGTCCCAAGCTCTACAGAGTCTTTATCAAAATGAGTGTAATGTATAAATGTTCACAGATTTCTTCCTTCCTTTTTTTTTCTCCACTTAAATGCTTTGTTTCCTTCCTCTCAGAAAAAATAGTGGGCAAAATCTAAGTAAATGGATTTGCCTGAATAAAACGACAAATAAAAACAATCACATCCCCATTTAGAGAGGCTTGTGTCGGCAGGGTAAGCTGTGTCAGATGCTTGCTGTGCCTGCTCCAGGAGAGGGGAACAGACAGAGCAGACAGTGAGTTCAAGTCTATGTAGACGGGAAAATACCGTGAGAATGCGAGTTAGAGGGATCTCCAGGAACCTGGAAATTGGGAAAGGACGGTCAGTTTTCATTAGAATACTTTTGCACTAAGTTTCTCTACTCAGAGGAAGCTTGAGCAGCTTAATACACACTGTGTAGCTACTTCAGAAGTTATACAAGCACATCGCCATAGCCTTCCCTTTCCCTCTCCCTCCTTAAGACCAAAACATGTCTTCATAAGGACTAGTTCGGGAGACAAAGATAAAGGATAGACATCAAGATGCACACAAAATCCCCACTGCTTCCTACATTTCAGGCTTCACTCCAAACCAAAGGCTGATTGTCCCCCCCCCCCCCGCCGCAATGAGGAATTCTCCCCGAGACCACGCTTGGTCCCATAAACTTCTGATAGGCCCACTCTTGGGTCTGCTGGGATTGCCCAGTTTTGCCTGAACTATAGCCAAGAGTCAGCAGAGTTCATTCTTAACTGGGACGATTAGGTAGGAAGTTAGAAATTAGCCTGTGTGAGAAAAAGAGGGGCCTGAGGGGGAAAAAGAAATAACACAGCCTCCAGCAGCCACGGAAGCGCCCAAAAGTACTACCCACACCCCCCAATAACTTTTTTTTTATTTTTATTTTTTGACAGGCAGAGTGGACAGTAAGAGAGAGACAGAGAGACAGAGAGAAAGGTCTTCCTTTTGCTGTTGGTTCACCTTCTAATGGCCGCTGTGGCCGGCGCACCGCGCTGATCTGATGGCAGGAGCCAGGTGCTTCTCCTGGTCTCCCATGGGGTGCAGGGCCCAAGGGCTTGGGCCATCCTCCACTGCACTCCCGCGCCACAGCAGAGAGCTGGCCTGGAAGAGTGGCAACCGGGACAGAACCCGGCGCCCCGACCGGGACTAGAACCCGGTGTGCCAGCGCCGCAGGCAGAGTATTAGCCTATAGAGCCACGGCGCTGGCACCCCCCAATAACTTAATAGGTGGTCCCAGCCTTCCCTCCAAGGAAAGATCCACAAGAGAATCTTCTCTGACAAGTGCCAAGGGGCTACCCAGGGTGATAGACTCGTGTAAAAAACCTTGGGAAGAATTTCACCTGTTTCACACTGAGCGAACTCTTTGTCTAGGAAAAAATGGTGGGGGGAAGAAGAAATGATGGGAAGACCTGGACTCCCATTCCCTTAGAAGCCCCAGTCTGAATACAGCCTGGGTGCCCTCAGCTCTTTCCTGAGACACCCACCTGGCCTTTCAGATGTATTTCCCTCGGCTACCAGACCTTCACTGAGTTGCCTCCATTAATCTGTCACCTTCATTACCCCAGTCTGAGCAGCTCGGTACTCTCTCTCAGATTCCATCAGGAGAGGTTGGCATCCATTCTGACAGAAGCCATATGCCATTAAACCTTGCTACCTTACTTACCACTCCTCTCTGCCTCATGCCTGGATTCTTTCTTGCGTGAAGACAAGAGCCTCTATTCCAGCCATGCTAACAGGACTGCCATTCTTCTCACTTTCAATCAAAAGTAGAATCCTTTCTTGGATCTTGGCCAGCAACTCTTGCTCCTGCACTTGAGTTCTTTGGGTGCCAGCATAAGATAACTCTCAATATCTTCTCACCCTGCCAGTCCAGTTTTATAAGTCCAAAAATTAATTCAGCACAGTTAAGGATGAATCTGCTTCAGAAGATTACATGTTTCCCAAAGTATCCCAGTTGATTTAAAGGCTGATTTATTGTAGACTTGTGGGTTCACCAGCTTTTAACATCGTTTTGCTTCCCAGATCAGCATCTGTGTTTGTTTAACAGCCACTGGCTGAATCGCTCTGAGAATCTTGGGAGCCACGTGGAAAGCCCTGGGGCTACATGGCTCATCTCCTGAAGTGACACTGTGAGTGTTTACATCGCTCATCAAGTTAGAATTTATCTCATGAAAATTGAGCTCAAGGACCGAGTCTACAAGTTCCCTGGGAACATAAATCTGAGTTAGCAGTGGTCTGAGGTCCTCCCCAAGCATGTCGACTTCTCTTAGTCTTACAGACAAGGCAGAGATGATGCCATTTCCTATTAGCAAGGAGGCTGAATTAGACTTATATTTTCAACTGCATTCATATCATGTACAAGGCGCAGGACTAGGTAGAGAGGTCATTGAAATATATATGTAGGGTCCGGCGCTATGCAGTAGCTGGTAATGCCGCTGCCTGCAATGCCAGCATCCCATATGGGCGCTGGTTCAAGTCCCGGCTGCTCCGCTTCCAATCCAGCTCTCTGCTATGGCCTGGGAAAGCAGCAGAAGATGGCCCAAGTCCTTGGGCCCCTGCACCCATGTGGGAGACTTGGAAGAAGCTCCTGACTCCTGACTTTGGATCAGTTTAGCTTTGTCCCTTGTGGCCAATTGGGGAGTGAACCAGCAGATAGAAGACTTCTCTCTCTACCTCTCCTCTCTTTATGTAACTCTGACTTTCAAATAAATAAATAAATATTTAAAAAAAAAGAAGCCTCCATTTTCAATTCAAAACACTCACTCCTAGTAAAGGAGATGGATGGCATTCTCATCAAAAAGAGTGAAACAGAGTACTCAAGATGTATATCTCGGAGACTGGCATTGTGGTATAGCAGGTTAAGCCACCGCCTATAGCATTGGCATCCCTTATAAGCAGAGGTTTGAGTCCCAGCTGCTCCACTTCCAATCCAGCTCCCAGCTAATGGCCTGGAAATGCAGCAGAAGATGACCCAAGTGCTTGGGCCCCCTGCCACCCATTTAGGAGACCAAGTGAAACTCCTGGTTCCCAGCCCTGGCTGTTGCAGCCATTTGGGGAGTGAACCAGAGGATGAAAGACCTCTCTCTCTCTCTCTCTGCAACTCCTCTGTAACTCTGTCTTTAAAATAAAGAAAATAAATCTTTATGTGTACCTGATTCTGGTTGGTGAGCACTTAAGTTTCATTGTGATGGTAGAGCAGCATGAGGTGAGGATACTTAACCATCCTCTTCTTTTTTTTTTTTTTTTTTTTTTTTTTTTGGATAGGCAGAGTTAGACAGTGAGAGAGAGAGAGAGACAGAGAGAAAGGTCTTCCTTCTGTTGGTTCACCCCCCAAATGGCCTCTAGCGCCTGCGCACTGCAACAATCCGAAGCCAGGAGCCAGGTGCCTCCTCCAGATCTCCCATGCAGGTGCAGGGCCCAAGCACTTGGGCCATCCTCCACTGCCCCATCCTCTTTTACATCACCACATTTCTCTGTGTCATGAAGGTAGGCTTTTGGCTTAGAGGCTCTCACAACTGCCAGTCTCTTTTCCTCCCTCCTCCCAACCCCTTCTACCCTAAGTTAATGTGATGGTTGCACATCAATGCATTTTGTATACTTCTGGAAAAGAGAGATGCTCAAGTCAAGCAGACTGAATGCTCCTTTTTCCATTGGGATTTGAGTACATGCCAAGTTCAGCCACTTGCCCAGACTAATGAGATGACTTAAACCCCGCAAGTACCCTGGACCTTCAGACTTTGTGCACTGGCTGACAGAGCAAGATCTCCAGGGAAAGGGCCTGAAGAAATCCCTTTGTAGAGGCCTACCTAGATGGTCAGCTAGTCAGCCTGGCATGAGCTTTAGACTGACCTCTTAAAACCATTGCTCCAAATGCTTTCTATAAAAATCCTATCCAGTCCATCAATGGGGCTGGGTGAGTATTCCCCGAAGTGTGCTACACAACATTAATTGCTTTTAAAACTTCGGCTGTGTGCCCAATATGAAGAGGAGACGCCTGTGGGAAAGATGGTATATGCTAAATTTGGAAGTCTCCCAAGTCTATTTCGATCCCATTGGTAATGTCTAGACTTTCATTTGCCACCATTGCATAGAGCTATTTAGGACGCAGTCAATAGACCACTGTGGGCCATGGGGATAAGTATATGAGGGCAGATCTATGTTAGCCTCAAGGTTAGCTCTTGACTACTCCTTCAGTTCCTGGAAGGACTTATTTTTCGGGCAGACTGTGTGTTCCTTCTTCCATTGTGACTTGAGTATATGCCAGGTTCAGCCACTTTCCCAGAGCAGTGAGCTCACTGAAACTTCACAAGTACCCTTGAAGCCTCAGACTTTGTGCTCTGGCCACATGTACCTCTTGGGCAAAGCTGCAGTGGTACCAGCATGGTAAAGGGAGGAGACTCAGAGCAGGAGATCTACTTTCAAGTCCTGACTGTGCCTCCATGAATCGGAGTGACCTTGAGTGTGTCACCTAACCTCTCTGGGTCAATTTTCTTGTCTATAAAATGAAGGAATTGGACTGGAATATTCTCAAAGTCTACCCCTTCCCATTAGGATAGTGTCAGATTATAAAATGATTTCCAAATGAGTCTGCCTGTGCTAAAGTCATTGGAAATATAACTTCCAGAACAATTTTTCAAAAGCCATGCTTTATTAATTAAATAGGAAAAGAAAAAAGAGCCTAATATTTGATACCCGCTATGCACCAGGCACTGTATAGAGTGCTTCTTTGTGAGTTCATTTAATCCCCTAAAAGCCCAGAAAAATTCCTCTCCCAGTTAAGAAGACCCTGAAATTTTTTCATTTCAGATAAGAGAGCAGACTCACAGAATAAAATAACTTGTGTACATTCACAGAGCTAGTCATTGATAGAGCTCAGGCTCAAACTCAAGTTTTGTGTTTCTAACTCCGATGCTACTGACAGCTCCAATTCAGTTATAATCCTGTGGGTGGGAGAGGCCTTCCCTGCAAATTAGCTGGCTGGTCCTTTTCAGTGGAGAATAGCTGGGTGATAGCGTGTGAGAGCATTGCCATTTACCCTTCATTTCATGCTTTTCTTCAGGGGCCTCCATGAGGCTTACATTGGCGACTCAGTCTCTGAGTTACCAAGGAATGTCCCTGTTCCATTTCCATTCTCACTAATTCTTCCTTGAAGAGAAGAAATGAAAAAAACACAGCTGTTTAGGCAAAATTAATGCTGTGTTTTTAATAATGTAAATGCCAGCAAAAATCTCAAGTTTAAAATCCCCAAACAAATATAACATTGTACCTGCACAAATGGAACTAATACCATACATGCAAATAAAAAAAATATTTTAAGTATTTGCTAAGACATTGGATTGTAGTAGCACAGAGAGCCATGATTTTACATTTGCTGTCTTTCTGTGTAATTAAAATTCCGATGTTGACACTGCATAAATTTCACCTATCACTCACTGCATGTTACAAAATGTATTTGTAAGAAAATGAAGCAGCATGATGAAGACTTAAAATGTTAGAAAACTACATAAAGGTATTATTGGCTCATTAATGTTGATAAGATGAGGAAACAGTTTGGAAAGACTCTGAGGTCACACAGTAGGGACTTCAGCTTGTCAAACCTCAGTTCACATTTGGCACCTGGCAAACCTTCACACAGCATGTCTGTGACCCATGTCACCATTGTTTTGAGCAATAGAAGTGTCTCCTATGAGCAGAGCAGCCAGCTGGGCAGATATGCCATTCACCACAACACTGAGGCCATGCACTTGCTGGCGATGTGGAGGAGGCAGAAGCCATATTTTCTTTTTCCTTTTTTTCCCCAAAAAGACTTATTTATTTATTTGAAAATCAGAGTTACAGATAGAGAGGGAGAGACAGGGAGAGGAAGAAAAATCCTCCACTCACTGGTTCACTCCCCAGATGACTGCAATGGCCAGGGCTTGGCCCAGCTGAGTCCAGGAGCCAGGGCCTTCATCCAGGTCTCCCACATGATGATAAGGGCCCAAACACTTGGGCCCTCTTCTGCTGCTCTTCCCAGGCCATTAACAGGGAGCTGGGTCAGAAGTGGAGCAGCTGGGACATGAACAGGCCCCCACATGGGATGCCAGCATCACAGGCTGCAGCTTTTCCCACTACAGCACAATGCTGGCCCACCAGCAGTACTTTCTAACCGCAGCTGTCTCCTTGGCCATAGCATTTTATCATTAATTAAAATTCAACATATTTTTTACTCTGACCACCACTTTCATTGTTTTCATTTTTCTAACTCAGAAATTATGGTTCTAAATTGTCTATTGCACAAGCTAATAGTACTTGCCAGCCTTGATCACAGATAAAAGCATGCACCCAACAAGGCTGACGCAGATTTGATAGATTCTTTAGGAAATATTTCCTATTTTCACTCTTAATTTCTCTGATTTGGTTTAAATGTAGGCTGGAGTGTGGTCAGCAGAAAAGCAGTTTCCATATCACTGCCTTGGGAGAATAATTGTCTTAATGAGAGAGTCTGATGGGCTTCTTGGGCCCCCAGGAAGCATGGCAAAAAGATTGTGTTTAAAAGTGACTCTAATCCGATCTAATCTTCCGCTTCAACCTCACCAAGAATTAAGTGATTGATTTTTGGTCTCTTGAAAGAAAATAAAGTCCTCCTGAGATGAAATTTGGCAGGTATCCAAAGACAAAGAGACGATTGAGGGCTGGCACCATTTGGATCTGTATGAACTGTCTTGGGCTGAGCAGGCAATTTCCCTCCCGCTGGTTCATGCATCCAGTTTTAGCAATAGCATGATCCTGAGTCAGAGGTTAAGCAGAATTTCATAACCGGTTCTTCATCGCAACATCAGACACCTGTGAGACACAACAGGGCAAAAATGGCAAAGAGCAGGTTATTCTTTACATTCTGCTTCCGCTAAGGTGCATCCCTCACACCCTGGACCCCAAGTCCAAGGCCTGTGATTCTCAATTTATTACTTTCAGGCTGTAGGCACTGCTTTTCTCTGCCCTCAGGAAGGCTACAGCATACACAACCCCCCTAGCAAGGTAAATTTTCTTACATATGTTGGTATTAGCTGGGACAACAATGTGCTGCTGGGATAAGGAGCAGTTGAATTTTAAATTGCACATAACTCACACAGCCAAGTAACTTGCAAAACCAAGACACTTACTAATACAAATGGATTTTTTTAAAGATTTTATTATATTTTTGAGAGGTAGAGTTACAGACAGTGAGAGGGAGAGACAGAGAAAGGTCTTCCATCCGCTGGTTCACTCCCCAAATGGTAGCAACGGCTGAAGCTGAACCGATCCGAAGCAAGGAGCCAGGAGATTTCTCCGGGTCTCCCACATGGGTGCAGGGGCCCAAGGACTTGGGGCATCTTCTGCTTTCCCAGGCCACAGAGAGCAGGATTGGAAGAGGAGCAGCCAGGACTAGAACCAATGCCTATATGGGATGCCAGCACTGTAGGCAGAGGATTAACCTACTACAGCACAGTGCTGGCCCCATAAGTGGTCATTTTTTTAATCTACTGGTGAAATTGGTCTGAAATTATAAACTACTGAGAGTAGACATTGATATACGAGCACTGGGAGGAAAGCTGGCCTCCTTCTTCCTTATTTCTCGTGTCCCCACCAACCTTCCTCTTCTCCCCTTTCTTCAGCCACTTTCCCATTTTCCATTTTCCCCTATGTACCCCAGAATCCAGATTTAATTGTCTTTCCTCATCCCTTTGTTCCTGGGCCCCCCAATCTCCTGGCATTGCCACCTGGCCAAGCTGCATACTCCCCTGAAGCATTCTCCTCTCCTGCTCCATGGCATCAAGTACAGAAGATTCCAGTCTAGAGTGAACCTGACATTGGCAACCACATCGCCATCACTGCCCAGGAATCTTTTTTATGTCTTTTAACCATTTGTCACCATCTCCCAGTCACTAGTCCCAAACTAGCTGTTCCACTTTCCGCCAGGCTTTTCCCTCACAAATTTTTTCAAGTAATCCACCTCCTGTTTATAGATGAGGATCTGCTCTACCCCTCCTGTTATAGAGGAAATAACCCATTTCAGTCAGATCATTCGGGATCTCTGCCTTCTGAATGGTCCCTCAGACACTTTCATGTGAATTGTTCTTCTCTTGAATTATTAGTCTCTTCTTCACTCTTTGCTTCCCCAAAGTCTACAGTCATTGTTAGCTTATCCAAAAATTCTATCCTATAAATACTGAATTCCTTCCTCCTATTGCCACTTCTTTCATTTCTTTTTTCCCCCTCCACAAAATCTTTCTTCTTCTCTTCCCTTTGACTTGAAATCCAGCCTTTGTGCCCACAATTCCTCTAGAACTGCCCATTAAAACTTATTAGTGGTAAACTAAGATAAGGTTGTAGACAGAGAAGAAATGAAGGAAGAAAATAGAACTGCTGAAAGAATCATATTAGAGAGTGGGAGGTTGAATAGCCCACAAAGAGGATGGAGTAGGAGTAAGCCACCAAGGTGTGGGTGTGGGTGGAGAGGGGACTGAAGAGCACTGCCCAGGACTTGCCCATAGAAAACAGAACAAGGTTAACAGGAGCCCCACCCACTGACCAAAGGATATCAGGACAGGAAACAGTCAATGCCCCCTTTCCAGCCAGCTGGGTCCTTACCCTGGTCAGTTCAAGGATGCATTGCTGAGCAAAAGAAGTGGAGCTCGGTGTAGCAGATACAGGACTGACCTTGGTCCTCCCAGAGAACTCCAGGCAGGGGGGTCAGTCAGCTGCCCCAGAGCCAGCAGTCCTAGATGGAGCTGTTAGAGGTTGAAGGAGTCTTCCGCCTTGCTGGTATGGTGCCCTGTCACCTCTTCCCATCCACCCATCTACCCACACATTCTAGCCTCCAGAGTTTCAGTTTTAACCAAGCCCTCCGAGTTTCCAGGCTGTGTTCTGATTTAAGATTGTGTACTCTTTTGTACCTGTTTTAGATGGTGTCCTTTTTGATTTGAATTAGTGGAAAATATTCCTGGTCTTCAATCTATCAGCAAACTTCAAGAGCTATCATCAAACCTACATTTATAAGAAGAAAAGCCAGACCACGGCTCAAGTGTATTTCTTCCAATAGAAGAGAGTGCTTTATTGTTTTGTCACAGTGAAGCCTTGAGCCAGACAGATCAAGTTTATGTCGGAAAATGTTAAAGGACCAACTCTTACAACGTGTGGATTTGGGGGGCATATGTCTTGTTTGAAGTGAGAAAGAGGAATATCCCACGATTGGGTATAAGGAAACTGTCAGAGGTAAGTGTGCCCAGCAACAGCCTAATAGGAAATGAAAGGGGAAATCAAAGAATCCTTGAGTCTTTCTCAGTCAAAAGAAAACAACTTCTCCCTCAGACTCACAATACATTCCTGAGTAAATATCATCTGTGAGAATATTCATGTTGGTGTCCCCACTCTAATGATATCATTATTCTACACAAGGTTTTTTTCCCATCTGATCTCCATCGAGCCTCCAAGCAGCATTGACTTATAAACACTAACTTGCTTAGGGAACTCTGCTGACAGCAGAGCCCAGGGAAATTGTGTCATCCATTTAAGACATCTCATGCCACAGACACAGTGTTATCCCAGGCCACTGCTGGTTGTCTTGAAAACGATAAGTGGACAATACAGGAAGCTGGCAGGAAAACCAATAACTAAACCCAATATGAGATTGTGGGCCCAATCTAATAAGAACAGATTTGTTTTGCTTTATTCTCATTTTGTCACCTGCTTTGTGGGAAAAGTGAAAAGTGATAAATAAGATTATGGCAACCTCTCAGTACATATTGGCTCATCATTCCCTGAACTTTTATACCAATTATTTTGAATCATGTAAATTAGTAGGGAATGGGTTTCTTAGTTATACTCTCCTTTCTACCACAGTGGAATTTTAAGACTCACTTGTTGGATAATCTGAGTCTAATTTATTTTTAACTTGCTATTTTTATTTTATATTTATTTATGTATTTATTTGACAGGCAGAGTTAGACAGTGAGAGAGAGAGACAGAGAGAAAGGTCTTCCTTCTGTTGGTTCACCCCCCAAATAGCCGGGTGCAGGGCCCAAGGACTTGGGCCTTCCTCCACTGCACTCCCAGGCCACAGCAGAGAGCTGGACTGGAAGAGGAGCAACCGGAACAGAATCTGGCACCCCAACCAGGGCAAGAACCCAGGGTGCTGGTGCCGCAGGTGGAAGATTAGCCTAGTGAGCTGCAGCAGTGGCCTATTTATTTATTTATTAACTTAAAAGAGAGACAGAGAGCGACCTTTCTAATGGTAGTTCACTCAACAAAGGGCCACAACAGCCACAACTGGGCCAGCCAAAGCCAGGAGCCCAGAATTCAATCCAGGTATATCACATGGGTGACAGGAACCCAAATACTTGAACCATCCTCCACCACCTCCTAGGCTGTGTGTTAGCAAGAAGCTGGATCAGAAACAGAGGTGTTGGGACTAGAACAAGGCTCTCTGATATGGGATACAGGCTTCCCAAAGACAACCTAAACTGCTGTGCCAAACTCCTATCCTATTGGGGGCTAATTTAAATTTATAAATGAGTTTGATAGAAATGTAGACATCCATCTGATCTACATCAGAGTCTAGAACCAACCCCACTCTAGGAAGCAATTGGGGCTGGTGTATCTATAACTTCTATGGGATCTATGGCTTTAAGAAAACTTTTGAGTGGGACAAAACTGCAAAAGAGGCAAAAACATAGATAATCTGTAATTTCTACTTCTACTTGTTGATTAGGATTTTTTAATAATATCAGATATATTTAACTCATTTTATGTTATCCTTGTGCCCAAACTAGTTGTTCTATTGGGTGGTTGTTTACTTTAGGCTTTTATGTGTAAGCTATAGCAAGATCTTTCTATTAATCCAATCACTGCAGCACACTATGATTAATTTATTGTAGTACTGATTTTGAAAGATCAGGAAAAAAAACTTATTTCAGTAGGAAAAAAGCATTAAGGGATTACAGACTACATCTGCCAGAACAAAGATATTCACCCATATAATTTATGGCGATTTTCTATGTTTTACATGACCTATCATATTCTGTATATTTCATGGAAATCTTTTACTTTATAACTTAATGGCAGGCCAAGTCATTTAGTGATGACCATTAAACCTGTCTTGAATCAATGAACTAGAAGGCCATTTTCATTTGTATAATCTTTAACAGTTTACTATATTACTAATGAAGAAATATTGGCCCAGAGAAGTTAAATGATGTATCTGTCCAGTATCACTGAGTTGGGTAAGAGCTATATCCAGAAACCTTCCTTCTCTTGTCTCCTCCACTTTGCTTCTTACTTTTATGAACAGTATTTTATCTTCATTAGCTATGCCAGGGTCCAAACTCAGTACCAAGTGCTGTCAAACATGACCTCATTGAATTTTTCCCAGCAACCACAGGGATAGGCCTTGCCATTGTCTTTATTATTTATGTAAGAAAGAAAGGTTTAAAGAAGTTAAAGCTACTTGACTAAAGTTGTTCAGCTAATAGCTAAGTGAATCCAGACTTTAAAATAAAGAATGTTTGGGACCAGCATTGTGACATAATAGGTTAAGCAGCTGCTTGCAACACTGGCATCTCATATAGGCACAAGTTCAAATCCTGGCTGTTCCACTTCTGATCCAGTTCCCTGTTATTGAGCCTGGGAAAAGCAGCAGAACATGGCCCAAATCCTTGGGCTCCTGCACACATATGGTATATCTGGACTAAGCTCCCAGCTCCTGGCTTTGGCCTGGCCCAGCCCTGGCCAATGTGGCCATTTGGGGAGAGAACCAGCAGATGGCAGATGGAAGAAATCTCTCTCTCTCTCTCTCTCTCTCTCTCTCT